AGCCTAGTCACGGTTTTCAGACAAAGGGGAGCTACCAGGGAAATTTCCATCCCCTCATGCATCTACTTCTGGAGATAATGAGATGTAATTGATGATGCAGCAGATTCTTGAAGGTCAGAAGAAGAATGCTACTGAGATCAATGTAAAAGTGGATAGCATGTACAATGATCTCAATGGAAAGTTTACAACGTTATCTTCACATGTCAAAAATCTTGAGAGTCAGGTTGCTCAGATTGCTTCAGCCTTTATACGACCAACTGGTGCTCATCCTGGGAAAGTAGAACCCAAGGGTAAGGAACATTGTTATGTAATTATGGTCCAGGAAGAGCCCAGAGAGATTGATGTCGCCAAACAGGAGGAAGCTAAGGCTACTGTTGTTGAGACACCTGTAGAGGACAAGATTGCAAAGGTTGATGAACCTTTATATGTGGAGCCGCCACCTTATCTTCCCAAGCTACCATTTCCAGGTCGTGAGAGACAGATTCAGAAACAGAAAGAGTATGCACGCTTTGATGAGATCATGAAACAGTTGTATGTGAGACTTCCTTTCTTACAGTTGGTCCTCCATGTTCCAACTTACAGAAATTACTTGAAAGATGTCTTGTCCAACAAGAGGAGCATTGAGGAAGGAGTTATGTTGATCTCTAAGGGTAAGGAGTATGCTCAGCTGGAGGAGTCTCAGAGACAACAAAGCAAGGTACAACTCACTGATGTAGTAGTTGTGGTAGCAGGGAAAGAGATGGTCACCGCTTGTAGTGCCATCCTTCCAGTAACTATTCCTGTGAAGCTCGATGACCCATGGAGTTTTATTTTGCCATGCCGGATTGGGAAGTCCATATTTGAGCGATGTCTTTGCGATTTGGGAGCTGGTGTTAATTTGATGCCTCTTTCTGTGTCAAAGCGTCTAGGAATCACTGATTTCAAGCCATCAAGGATCTCTTTGATTTTAGCTGATCGCTCTGTGCAATACCAAGTGGGTTTGGCGGAGGACATGCATGTTCGAGTGGGAAACTTCTACATTCGAACTGATTTCACTGTCCTAGAGCTTGACAAGGAACCACAAGATCCTCTCATTCTTGGTAAGCCATTTTTGAACACTACAGGAGCTATAATTGATGTGAGAAGAAGCAAAATCAACCTGCATATTGGAGACTACTCTTTGGAGTTTGACATGAGAAAGACGAGGAAAACCCCCACCATTGACGGACATGCATTTTCTATTGATACAAAATGATGAGACTAGCGATAAGTGTATAAAGAAATGTAGTGGATGGAGTGAGGTCAAGGAAGTCCTGGATGGAGACACTCATATTCCAATAAAGAAGATTGCTGCTAAGGATAGGGTGAAGCAGAAAAGGATCAAGGGCCTCAGATAGCTTTGATACCACTGCGTTGTGTCGGAGACACCATTGAGTATAAGGTGCAGTGTAAAGGGACCTCGAAACTTTTCTCCAAAGCTAGGAGCCTTCTCACTTCTAAATGGAAAGAGAAGGGTAGAAAAGCTGTGAAAAGTGTGGTTGGTAAAGTTTTGAAGCTGATGTTGAATGATTGGGGACCTTGTTTCAGAGCAAGTTCCCACACTCGTACCCATTAGTCCACGAGAATCCGGTCAAGCTAGTGACATAAACAAGCGCTTTGTGGGAGGCAACCCACCAGGTATTTCTGATTTTCCTACCATTTATTTATTTTTCTTTTGCTTTCTTTTGAGTGTGTATGGCATCTTTTCTTTGAATTGTTTTCACATCGAGTCGGTGTGAAGCAAGTCGGGGGGAGGTTATCATTTGTCTACTAATCGAGTTTGCTTTGGTTGTTTCTTTTGTTGCTTTTGTTGAGTCGGTTTTATCGAGTCAAAATCGTATCTTTTATTGAGTCAAAAATTTGTTGAGAACCATGATCTTTTCTTAGGGAATTGCACCGTGCTTGATTTCATTGCCTTGGGACCATTTTAGCATTATTCGATAACTTGGAAGTTCAAGAAAATCCATCACTATATCACTCTATAGTAGTCCCTATCTCTTTGAAATTTGGATGAATTGAGCTTTATCTTATATACTTGAACTTAATCTGGACTTAATTTATCTCACTTAGGGGCTTGAGAATCATGTAATGGATCATACATTCAGAGTTTTGTTTGCATCATTTTTACCACTCTTTGCAAACTCTGAATGGCTAGACTCATTTTTAGTCTAGTACCGCACATGTTCCTCCACCCATTGTTCGAAACCTCATGCATTCTTATATAATCATCATGATATGCATCCAGGTGCGAAAACTACGGAGTATACGGACCGACATAGCTTTCCTTCTGTTAGGATAGTGATTTGTAGTTTACTGGTTGTTGATAGGTGATGAGATTGAGCCACTATGCTTTAGAGGTTGTATTCATGGGATATGTTGTTGTCGTTTGCGGTTTCTCTTGGTGCAGATTTTGTGAGACACCGGTTCCACTCCCCCGTCAAAAAAAAAAAAACGGATATGAAAAGAATAAACGGGAAAGGAGAATGAAATGAACCGGAAATGTCGAGTTGATATTAGTTACGTTTATAAGCATCAAGTGTACTTATTGATTTGATTGGGGTAGTGTGTTGGTTAGTTTGATCCGAGCTTAAGGGAAGCTATGTACCTCCTAGTTGGTCTGTGTCTCACAGTGATTTCGCATAATGACATGCATCCGTTTTACACTGTTCGAGAACCCGAAACACTTTGAGCCCCCAAAATATTAGCCCTTTTTCACCAAGCCCATAACATGTTCGATACCCCCTTTGTGAGAATACACGCCACTGCTAATGAATGTTAAAAGGTTAAGTTATCTGATTCTGAAAGTTCTTTTAGATCTCGGGTCTTAGTTTTGTTGCTACGGTTATGGCAAAGTACAGTTTCGTACGGTTTGATGAGTTTTGTGATAGTGGTTTGCAGGCAATTGATAAGAATATGATCCCGAAGAAAATGTGAGTTCTCGTGTTTTTAAACCTCTTCTCTTGATAAGGATTTCTGCTTTTCTTGAGGACAAGAAAAGATCTAAGTCGGGGGGAGTTGATGTGTTGCGTTTTTGACGGTTTCGAGTCTTTGTTTTCTTTCCTAGATCATATCTTTTATAGAGTCAAAGTATGTTTTTAGAGTCTTTTAGTCCTTTATCGAGTCTCTATAGGTTTTAGGAAGGTATGCTGAAGTTGGAGGCTTTTCGTATCAAATACGGGCGATAGGAGATGAAATGGGAATATGGTGATCTAAGACAAATCTGCTGGAAAATGGCATCTGACAAATCTCATCAGGCAACTGCCTGATGCACAAATCCGGGTTTCTGCCCAAAAATCCGCTGGAGAATGGCATCAAGCAAATCTCATCGGGCAACTGCCTAATGCCCAGTTCCGTTTCTCCTTCACCGAATTTATTTCTATTTTCTGTAATTGGGTATAAGAACCCAGAGACCTAATTTTTCAGAACACATTCTTTTCTCTCCAACTTTTGAGACTTCTCTTTGTAAGCTTTTTGGGGATTCTAGAGACTCATCCTCTTTGACACTTTGGAGGAGATTTCTAAACTCTTGTTTTTTATTTATCAATTCAATCATGTTTTCTTCTACATCTTTTTGTGTTATTCTTTTCAATATGTGTGACTTGTCTCCTTATTGGGTTTTCGGGTTCTTAGTAGGAGATTCAATAGATTGATGGATTGATTGCTGTTTGGAGTTCTTATTCCTTATAGGTTTTTTGATTCACATGTTCTTAAAGCTAGAATAGGATTGATTACCCTGTTGTAGATTCTAGGTTTTTCTATGCATCAAAAGTGTTCGATAGAATGTCTGAACCAATGTGAATTGAGCAATGTATGTTTAGCCAATGAAAGTTGACGTTAGGACGCATTGTGAACTTAATGAACTTGTTTGGTAATGCGAATATGACTAGAAAATTGCGAAAGTTTAGTAGTCGAGTAGTCAAATTTAGTGATTAATGTCTTGAAAGAGAATTAGTCTAAATGTGTTCATGTTCAAGAACGGTACTTAATTGTTGAATTCCTTGTCTCATGTTTCCATTATTTATTGATCTCTGAAATACCATATGGCACAATGTCTTTAATTCTTGAAAGTTAAATCGTTTAATTTATTTGCATTTTATTTTACAATCTGAAAACTCAAACAAAACAATTCTTCGCTTTAGCTAAGAACGAGTCTCGGAAGTCTTTAGTGTACCATTGGTTCTTGTGGATCGACCCCGTATATACTGCCTTGGGATTAAGTGTATCGGGTAATTACTCGAGCAATCAATATACATATATATATATATGTATGTGCATGTATGTTTATTATTCAAATTACATTAAGTTATGAACCTAAGATAGTGACACCAATTCAGCTGGGAGACTTAATGATTTGGAAGATACTCCATTTAATTTCATGTGTTATGTTTGAAAGCATATAATAAAACTAAACACAACCACTATGTACTCTTGAAACATAGTGAATATTCTTATAAAAAAAATTTAAAAATATATATATATATATATATATATATATATATATATATATATATATATATATATATACTATTAATAAACCTATACATAAGATTGAATAGATTAAGATTCGTCTGTGCACGGCAAGAATTCTTACTTAGTGTAATTTAATATTCCTACTTATTTTATTTATTTTGTTGGATAGCATTAAAATTTCTTTCTCTGTCAATCTTTCAATTTTTCTATTTTTATTACTTATTTAGCATATTTTAATTGATTTTTTCATGTCTTAGATAAATCATAAACTTAAATAGTAACCTACTAAAATAAAATAGCTAATTATGAATATAAATAAAAAGATTTATTTTATGTCTATACGTAATGATTTAAGTATATATATATATATATATATACAATTTTCTAATAAGATTATATCGAGTCACTCTTACGAGTTGTGTAGATGGTTAATCACGGCTAACAATTTTAGCATCGTACTACTAATTGTTACTGGTTTATTATGACATGTACTAATTAAATAACGAGGCTGCAAATAGTTCTTTAATTTATTGGTTACTAAAACTTTGATATTTCTTTTGGCTAAACCAAAAGCTCATACTTAATAAAATTATTTGAACATATAAAAGAAATAAAAACTTACATTCTTGGCAGCGGTGCTGAATGCTTCTCTGTGGCTTATGTCTGGATTATTCGCCTTAATCCTTTGAATTTCCTCTCTTCAAAGTTTTTAATATAAAAACACTAATCAATAACCTCTTTCTAAACAGATTTCGAACATTATATATGTATGTATGTCTAAGAAATTTTGTTACTTTATGAATTGGTTGTACGCAGAAGGTACTCGCTGCCGCTTCTCCGAGGCTGATAGACAATATAAGAAATTTTCAGTATGTATACAAATAATTTTCACGTGTACTTCTTTAGTTTTATTTAGAAAGCAATCTTACGACGGTTTACTATCCTTTGCTCAGTTATGGTACGAGTTGAAATTCTTGAAGGGATTTTGGTGTGGTCTCTTGAGGAAGATCCATACTCTGGTACTGCATAGTTCGTTGCCTAATAAAAATATATAAAAGCTAAATTTAGTTTTTAATTACATGACTTTTCTTTGACTTTCCAGACCAAAAATGGTGAATCAGAAGGATTGAGTAGCAATCATGTATGTATTGTTTAATTTAGGAAATTGAAAAGAGAAAAATAAAGTGGACCAACTTATAGACATTTTATTAATATTTAAGGGTAGTAAAAGAAAAAACCTTCAAAAAAAGGAATCTGAAAATATGTTTCGAAATAGAAAAAAACAAACAAACCTATGAAACCCTAATATTCATGTCAATCAAATCATAGAATAAGTAGCCCACATCACTAATAGATTAAACATAAGCTAGGGCTCTATGAAAAAAAAAGAAAAAGCAATTACAAAAAAAGCTGCAGATATCAATCACAGCTGGAAAAGGAAACTTAAATAAACATGTAAAAAGAAGAAGATTTAAGTAATATTAAAAAATTTGGGCCTATATATATGTAGTAGACGGCGGCTGGTTACAGAAACATGCAACAAGAGGCTCAGATCTCTGTCTATATTCGTCTTTAAAAACAAACAAAAGAGCCCTAAATTTCAGAGGGATGGTTCAAGATTTTTTTATTTAATGACAATGAACTCTTAAAATTTAGGCAATTGAGGAGAGAGAAGTTACATGGAAATTAGGGCGTGAAAGTGACTGAAGAGCAGCTGCCATGTTTACAGACCACAGATTGGTGCAGTGACCGCATCGGACGGTCACGATGTCGAACAAGCTGCTGCATGGGACACTCACCTACACGTTTTAGCCAAACACAACCTCACATATATTAATTAATTGATCTTCTTTCATGGACAATTGGATTTGTCAACCAGATCCATAAGACATAGATCGGCGAAAAGCTTAGATGTAAATTTATGCAACTTACACTTGTTACAAGAAAATTATCATTAGACAACGAATAAAAAATATTGCTTTTTTGTTGATATATATCAGATATTCCTATCTTTGTTGAAAAATAATGCAATCAAATCATATGATTAAAAAAAAAAAAAGTAGTGGCTTGAGATAGATCAGATCATCTTCTCTTTTGTTGCAGCCACCACTTAAGATCCAGTAGTGACTCCTTTTTTCATTATGCAAAATCTGTTACTTATAAATTAGTGAATATACTTACACATATATGCATGACCATTTTAAAATAGGTTATCTTATGATTCATAACTTAAAATTGTAAGTAAAATGCTACTAGTAGGATTTTGCTTTGAAAAGAGCAAGAAAAGAATAGAGAATAAATCAATATAATGGTGAAAAAAGTCATGTATAGCAGACGGATGGTGACTTCTCTCTGGCACCACAAGCTAAACAAAATATTTGTCATTGACAAAAATAAATTAGAACGGATTTAAATGAATGAGAACTTTGAACGTTTGTAAGATAGTGGAACTGATGAAAAGAGCTGCACTCCTCTTTATCAGAAACCAATATATAGTACAAAGGAAATTAAAGGTAGATCTATGCTTGATTATATATTTTATATACGAGATATTCAGAAGCATAGATCTACTATAGATAGCAGAGTATATAATCGATATGTATAGCAATTATACCGCGAGAATTATGTTGCAAAAGTTGCAAGGGATGTAGCAAAGTTGCTCGGTTGCCATCGCAGAGTTAGCCATGATCGATCGGAGAAATCGGACCAAACAAGTTGTTTGTTTTGAAGAATAGATAGAAGATGAGAGAAATTATATAGGTAAAAACCGTGTGACTCTGTCTCTCTCTATCTCTACATGAACAGACACTTGCCTAAAAAACTGGTATTGCACTTCAACAACTATGCCAAGGGATCATAAAAGTAATTTAATGAATGGGAAGATAATATGTAAGCCTAAGGAGAGGATGAGAGTTAAAGGGGCAAAATTATTATATGCAATGTGAAGGATTTGGGAATTTCGATGTAGGGTTATGTTCTATGTCTTTTAACGAGTAGGGTCCGCTTCACTTATGGGGTTGCATACCATAAGAAAAAAATTCTTATCGGAAATTTGGGATGGAATTGGTAGTTAAGGCAATTAGTATTCTTTTTTTTTTTAAAAGAGATCAATAGCATATAGTTTTTGTTTTTAATATAGCCAAAATAAAAAAATAACTTGAACTACATAGCATTTAGTTTAAGGAAATAAAAAAAAAAACTGTATAGTTTATTTAATATAGCCGAAAAAGTTTTATATTATACAATATAAATAATGATTGCCAAAACAATATTTTGGAATCATAAATTCATAACGTTATACAACCAATCGAGGGACGGTCTATATGCAAGATATTGTATGTAGTAAAGGAAGAATATTTGTATTCGCGAGAATATTCTATGTCGGCCTTCCTTCCAAGAACACTACATTGAGTTACTAAATTATCGATGGTATTAATAAAGATTGGTATATGAGAACGTTGATGACAACAAAAACAACAACCAAAAAAAGTATCTGTGAACATTACCTTTTCGACTTTATTCGTGGGATACTTCAATCAAATTTAGGGTTCGTTTTTTTTTATGTCGCATGTAGGGTTGATACTTGATAAGTAGCCTAGTAGTAGTTGAGTTATAAAATGGTTGCTTGTTTAAACTTGGCATTTATGTTTAGTAATAAATGAAAATTTTAACTGTATTATTTATTTCTATATCATTAATATAAAACAACAAGCTTTCTTTCACTTTCACAGAAGTATCATTCTAATATTTACACACAAATTAAAAAATATATATAAATTTTTATTATACATTTTATTAATACAATAACTGGTTTTATCATTCTAATTAATAAACACAAATTTTAACCCGCAGTATACCGCGGGATGATTTATTTTTTTAAAGTTAGTATGTTTAAAATTTTTATAAATTGTACCTCTTTATAAAATATTTATATTTTATAATTTACAATTGTTATTAAGTAACGATATACCACGAGCCTACATGACAATTGTTAATAAACTAAAGATTTAACCCGTATAAAAGCGGCATGTTAATGATATTTTAAATTTTATAAATATTGATTTAAACCCGCCCGCCGTATAAACTCGTACCGAAATATAACCCGTCCCGTAATTTCTTAACCCGTCCAGTGATTTGTTTTCTAAAAGTAGTGATTTTAAAATTTGATGATTATTTCGTATATATAAAAGCTTACAAATTGTATCATTTCTAAGATATTTATATTTTAATAAACTGAGGATTTAATCTGTATTAAGCGGTATGTTAATGATATTCCAAAATTTTATAAATATTGATTCAAACTCGTCCACCATATAACCCCGTTCCGAAATATAATCCGTCCTGTAATTTGTTAACTCGTCGCGTGATTTGTTTTCTAAAAGTAGTAATTTTATAAATTTAACGATTATTTATTATATATAAACGTTTGCAAATTGTATTATTTTCTAAGACATTTATATTTTATAGTTTATAATTGTTATTGAGTAACATTATACCACGGGACAATTTTTGGTTTTATACAATCGTTTCTAAATGAGACTGATTTGATATGTTTAATATTGATGGTATTAAAAAAAAAATTAATCCGTATTGAAGCGGCGGATTAATGATATTTTTATTTTTATTTTTATTATTGATTCAAAAACCTGTCCCGCCAAACCCGTCCCGTCAAAAAACCTATTTATTTTATTAATATTGATCTAATATATGATATGGTTCTGAATCATTGTCTAAATATTTTAGTCGATGTAGAACGTTGAACATACATTTTTCGTCAATTAGATAATATATGTCGGTTAAAATTTCGAATCACAGTATATGTAGAAAAACAAAATTGATTTCTTTTTTACGTTATGTATTATATGATGATTCAAAATAGTTAAAAACAAATCAAACAAATATCATAGGAGAATCATAATTCTAAATCTTAATTAAATCTTCTAAATATTTAAATTATTAAATATTGAATATTCAGCATATGAGTTGGGTTAAATATAACCCGACCCAACAAATGTTTTATGAACAAAATTTGTAAATGGGTCGGATACCCATTGTATCCAAATGCATTTTATGCCACCCACTAAAAATGTAATTCAAAAATACTATTATAGATAATAATATGTTGTCAATAAAATTAAAATTTATTAGAGAGAACCGTAGATCATATGAAAAAGACCAAAAAAAGGAATTTGATTCTTTCCTATTGAAACAATGGATCACTTAGAGCATCACCAACGCTCGTCTCTCTATTTCAGTTTCTCATATACGTGTGAACACAACTTTTAAATGTGAACATAAATAAATTCATATTTTATTAATAAATATTTTATTTAGACTAATTATAGTAGGACATCTGTGAGAAACGTTTCTTAAAGTCTCTCACAAGAGCGACGACTCTCTCCCTTTCTCCTCTTTTTCCTATTTTTTTCTTTATTTTAATAATGAGAGACGATGCAAAACATACCCGTTGGAGATGGCCTAAATCAACTAAAATAAAAGTGAGGAGGATGCACACATATGTTAGTAAATCAATACAAATATTTCATAGAAATGGGGAAAGAGGAAAGAAAAGAAGAACAGTAGTGTGGCTACGGAAGGATGCAAAAGCTGGGACCAGCATGAAAGCAAGTTGCCACTGTTTTTTATTTGCTTTCATTGGAAATTAAACTTTTTGATATATTTCAGGTTTAGTTGGGAATGAGCTAAATTGTTCAGTTACCTCTTTTAGTTTGGACGGCTGATTAGACATTAGGGTTTGTTAGAGTTCACTTCTTTTTGTTTGGACAACTGATTGGATGAACATTAGGGTTTGATAGAGAGAGAGACATCTAAACATCTGAAAAGTGGGAGACCTACGAGTAACCAAATTATTGCGTATACAAATAATATTATATTTCATCGGTAGAAATCAATTTAAATCTTCTGATAAGTTTGTGACAAAAAAAAACTAAAATTAAAACGAAAAGACAAAACAAATTTTACAAGAAAAAAAAACAAAAACTTTGTGATAAGTTTGACTAAAACGCTTTAAACCACACATATAAATGTTATTATTGTCTTTTTATTTCAACATTGAGATACATCATACATTTAGTTTCCCTAAATTAAGATCTCCTTCTAATACCTAATTCCCCTAAATATCCCCTTTTAAAAGTTCAAAGAGAGTGTTAAAAAAATAATCCAACCATATATTTACACTATATATTTGAAATATTGATCTATTCTTTTAATCGTTGTCTTACTATAAAACTCAATAACAAAAACTAACTTTAAGACATTGGGATTCATTAAAAATAAATAAACCACGTTATTTTATTAATCAAGTATTCCAGTAGAAAGAATTAAGATCTCGACTTATTCAGGTGTACTAACTAGTTAATTTTCTATTTATTGAGGCTGGTGCTTCTATTAAGAAAGAAAGAATCAAATATTTTTCACCTTATTATTATGAAAAAAAAAATCTGAAGATCGGTTGAAGATTGTTTTGGAGTGAAGCGGTGTTGAATAGCTAATGTGATGTGTTACAAGGAGTTATCATGAAATCGATGTGTCATCACATTTATGGCTTCTTGCAACCCCACATTCTCTCCCCCTCCACCACCGCACTTAGGGGGCGATTTCTATTTTTTTTAATTTTCAAATCATTTTTTATTGAAACTCTTCGCTCAAAATTGTTTGAGGAAACCTAGAAAATGACGTAAAGATGAGTGATATCTTAAACAAGAGAAAGCAGTACTAGAGGAAGTTTCTCTTAAGTTTTACAAATCCATCTTTAATCTTTGCGTCTTCTTCTACGATCCTTGTTTTCTTTTCTGTTTAGCATTGTTCGTCTTTTTGCTAACAAGATTGTTTAGATAGTGATGGTAAATCATTCAACTAACAAGCATAGCAACAATTTCATGAAATGGAGGACATTCTCGTATATTAAGAGTATTTAACACCTTTTCCATTTCATATTATACTAGGTGACTGTCCGCGCAAAGAATCATGTATAAATGGCAAAATCATGACAGATTAATTAGGAAATGTTATAGATGATGAAAAAGTGATATTATAAATGCTAAGAAAATAAGACGCTAATCAATTTTTTTTTAAAAAAAAAAAAAAAAGAAATACTAAGACAATAAGAAAACAACGAACGTCATCACTCCATAGCATTCTCTTTGCGTGTGACGATAGGTACTTGGTCGTTTTCAGGATTCCTGACATCCGATTAATACCATCATAAACAGTTAATGTACAGTCGCCAATTTTAGAGTTTTGAATGTAAACGAAAAAAACAAAAAAATAATTACCAACAAAGCATCTCGTCGGTAATACTGAGATCCGGATTCAACATAACCCCCGTACATTCGGTATCATTGGTACATCTCCACCTATGTTCATGCGATAGCTCTATTTTCACAAACTTGATAATACATATCACTGTGTTATCCGAACGACGGTTCCATAAATTGTTGAACTCGACTGCAAGATCACCCGTCAAACGACACTCTAGATGGATACACCTAATTTAAAGGTTTTAAGAAGTAATGAGACTCTATATTCTGATATAACTATGATAAAAAGATAGTGACTTACAATCTTGAATGAACCGTTCGACCTCCAGGCATCAACAGGGAAGTTATTATGCTTAATGCAACATTAAAAATAAAAGACTAAGGACCTAAGAGTAGTAGATAAAATATTTCACACGTAAATTTTCCCAGTCCCTCCATACGCATATAAGAAA